GATCTCGGGGCTGCAATGACGGAACCTGCGGTTGCAGACAATCTCAAGGTGGGGCCTGAGAGCGGTGGAAATTGGCTTCTCTACCTAGGATCACACACACAGCGGGGGTTCCTGGTTCCTGGGCCAAACTTTCTGATGTTTCCTCTGCCTTTAGAACAGCTGAACTCAACTTGTGTCCCGGGAAGAAGGTGTAACCTGGCTTGATTCCGCCCCTTTATCACCCTGCTCTTGCCAGACTGGAAAAGAATAGAGGACTGAGCCATTCACCCTTCTTCTGTTTAGAGAACGAGTATGGACACCCATTCTTGCTGTACCCGCAAAGTCCCTTATTGTCTCCAGTCTAAGGTTGGGACTTATTTAGCAGAGACTTTTTGGCACATACTGTAGGAAGCGCCTTACAAAACTAATTGTTCCAAGGACCTGGTCCTCTTACCAGCCTTTATAGAGGAGTGGCTGGGACCAAGTGCGTTAGAGGTTGAGGAACTTGTTGAAGATTGTGGAAAAGAAATGGTAGGGCTTGGATTAAAGAGAGTCAGATTCTAACTCAGTGGTTAGCAAAGTTGAGTGGGCCCCAGCTTTGCCTGCAGGCTTGTTAAACAGAGGTTTGCTTGGTCAGCCCCATCACCTCAGCATTTTGTGTTGATAGGTCTTGGGTGATGCATATGAATTTGCATTTGTGACAGAAGCCTTGGTGCGGCCGCTGCTGTCCCTGGGGGCACACTTTGGAGAACCCGCTGCTGCAAATTGTACAGGCTCTTGAGTGCCACGCATTGCTGCTCTGATTCAATCAGCTCAGATACAAATATAGAATGACTTTGATCAGTGGGTGGCCATCTTGGGGTGAAATAACAATGCCGAGGCTTCATCCTCAGATATTCTGACTCAAGTGCTTGGCCTCCATCCCAGGCACCTGGAGTTGACAATTTTCACCATGTGATTCCAACCTGCTGCGAGGCTTCACATTGGAAATCAGGGATTTGGGCTGTGGTTAGAAAATCTGAATGCATATGGGAATTACTTGGGGATCTTGATAAAATGCAGATTTCACGTCATGCCAAGAACCCAGTAGATTCTCATGCCGTTGGATTTTCACACAAACTTTGAGTAGTAGGGACTAGTGTTCCCCAAGCCCCATGGCTCCTATATAAAATACAGGATATCCAGTTGAATCTGGATGTTTATTTTTTTATCAATATTTCCCAATGTTGCATGGGTCACACTTACGCTAAAAATTATTCATTATGTATCTGAAATTTCAATTGACATGGACATTCTTGTTTTCTTTTGTTTCATTTGGATTGGTAAATCTAGCAATCCTATCCAAAAGAGAATTATGTGAATTGCTTGTTTCAGTACACACATGTACTCATTCACTCACAGATTCCTAGTTCTAACCCAGACCTGCTAAATTATAATTTCTAGGGTCTCATTATCTTTATAGTTACCAAGCAGTGTAAGGTGATTCTTACCAGCTAAATTTGGGAAATAGATCAACCCCTAACTCATGACTACTTGTAATCCCCCTGTCACTCCCACAGACACATTAGGAGGGTGTACTTTGGTTTGAGGCTAGTCAGGGAGCTGAGGGTGCTTCTTTAGCACATCATAGACTCTGTGAGAGTAGTATTTGGTCCCACTACTAGGTGAGGGTAAGTCTTCAGAATTCTGGGCTATGATATTTTAGTTCCGTGGATAAGCTGTCTTCTTTGATTGTGGAAGAAAATCTGGGTATTCAATTATTTGAGGTGCTAGAGTAGAGTTTGCTGATAAAATATAGGATGTCTAGTCAAATTTGAATTTCATATAAATGATGAATCCATTTTTTAGTATATAAGTAACCCCCAAATATTATGTGAGATCTTCTGATGCAAAGAAAATTGTTGTTTATATGGAATTCACATTGAACATGATATCCTATGTTTACAGTTGGCAATTCTGGCAACGCTGGGCTGGAGAACATTCTTGAAATGATCTCAGTGGGGCCAGCCTGCTTATCATCCTCAGTCCTGCTGGCTCCTGAGCAGCACTGCAGGTATCTACTTACAGAACAGTCTTTGAAGTGGTCAAGAGCACCACAGAGGCTAATAGGAACTTGGACAAGAAAAGTGAGACCTCCTTCAAAGAGGAGCAATAACAAAAGGTATCAGTCCTTGGGAAGACTCCCCAGGATCTCCGAATGGACTCTTTGGGAGATTGGGGGAAATAAAGGGCATGCATCTCACACTGGGACCCAGAGTCAGTATTTTTTCCCGACAGGAGGAGTTCTGCACAGAACTGTGTCAGCGTAGGTATAATATCTGCATCAGAGAGGCCTCTGGTACAAACCAGTAAGTGAACTCTACTTTTATGAGCCCTGGCCCCATCTACTGCTCTGCAAGATGCTAACTCTTTGCATTCCTGGTGGAAAAGACTGTCTCTCAGCAGTTCTGGGATGGGCACATTTGTGAGTGGTGGAGGGTTTGGTGAAGACACAGAGGTTGGAGCCAGGAAAGGAGGTCCCTAGTAAAGGTAGAGCAAACAATCAACTCATAAGGTACGTATTGTTGGGTGGAACTCCAGCAATCCCACTTATAGAAGGAGGAGCCAAATATTTCTATAATTATGACCTTTGTCCTTGATTTTTGTTAAGACTGTTATGTTTAGATACTTAGGGTGTTATTTTTTTGTTCTTTGTGCATTTTAATTTGCTAAGTTGTACTAATTCCTTTCCAACCCATGTATTTTATGGCAACACCTTAATAGACGTATAGACATATCTGATTTTAATTATTCAGTTTTTTAATATCAGCTGATGTCCTTGAACTAACTAAATTAGCACTTGTAAATTTCTCTAGTATTCGTGCTTCATTGGGTGTTTTATGACCAAAGTTTTTACTGGAAAACATCTTCATGAACTGTTTTCTGCTTTCTGAACATACTGTACAGGACAGAATGTACTTTATAATAAAATTCAGGCCTACTAATACCATGTTTTACACATCAATTACATTAGGAAGCCTGTGTCTTTATTTTAGTGATTTAGGCATTGGTGGCTGTGGCCAGTGAAAGAGAATACCTAAAAGAAGAGACAGTTTGTTTTTAGTAAGTTAGCCCTCTCTGGCAATGATTAACATTCTGATACAGTGCATAATTTACTCATCCAGTGTAAACAGTTGCATTCTCTACGTGAACAGTCTTTCACTAGAGTATTCCTTGTGTTACCTCTTACTGTACTACTGCTTTTGGAAAACTTTTTAATAACAGGATATAGTGTGTTCATGGACTAAGGGCTTGTGTTCTTGGTCCAACCTCAGAAAGCTCTCCAAATGTGTTCTCTGCTACTTCAGAGAAATTGGTGTTTATTTTTTTTTCTTTCCATGGGATGGCAAATTCATGTGTTCTCTAACTGTAGGGAAGCAGCCCGTTTTTATAAAATCTCCAGAGGAAACTGCCCCTGCTGATTTTTGCACAGAGAAGAGGAACAGAAACTGTTGCCTTGTCTTTTATTTTAATAGTCTAAGGGCGAGAAAGAATCCTATGGTGGGATTTTAAATTTGCCAGACCTGTATTAGATTTGTGAACTTTGCTCACCACGCTTCATGAAGGATGTGGGAAACCTGAAAGGAAGTTTAAAAAACAGCAACAGAGGTGGTTGAAATTATGCAAGATACTTCCCATCGAGAAGTCTTACTGGAAATGGGCTTGTTTCCCCTGCAGAGAGGTGTTGGGTTATGATCAGATGTGTGCGTTGGGTGTGACGTGGGGGTGAGTTGCCCTGTGTTCTGGGGGATTCGGAGGTGCCTCCTTTTAGAAAAGCTGACACCCTGTCTTTGGATGCTTGCAGCAGGGGGGGCTGCTAGCTTTGGACCACTGCCCACACAGGGCTGTGCACCTTGTGTGTGTGGTCCCTGGTGCCCTGTCAAAGGCTCCCAGGTGCTCTACTCAGATGCTGAGTGCAAGGCCCTGGAAGTGTGAGCACTGCTTTCCCCCCCACCCCCACCCGTCGCTCGGACCCCAGTTTGCAGTCTGCAAGTGCCTGGAAGATCTCCAAGGCCATCCAGAAATTCACGTGGGGTGGGTGGACCGAATGATGAAGGATATTGGCTGATCCAAAAACGGCACTTGATATTTCCTCTTGTGATTTTGCTCTGAAGCAGTTTTCAGTGTTGTTGAGCAAACGGTAGAAGTTCTGGAGGTCCTTGGTGGCAGAGGAACGGCCAGGACTCAGCAATGCTCCAGAACCTGGGCTTTGCCCTCTGGTTGGAGATTGTGACCGTGCCGTCCTGCCTGTCACAATTGCTTGTCACATGCAGTTACTTCACCTTTCCTCTTGTGCTTGGGAACACAGGCTTCTAGAAGGTTCTCCGTAGCCTACCCTTTCCTTTTGCTGATGATTAAAATTCAGGGTTTGAATTGAAAGTGTAAAAGCTAACAAGTGGATTTTCTCTGCAACTTAAATGGAGAGTTTGTCTCTGGGTTATATCTCACTTTGACTGGAACGTGGTTAATACGAGTGGAAATTCTGTGCTTTGGTTCGGGGAGGCCAGGAAATTGTGGCTTCAGGTTATTTGCTTCATATCCATAAAAACAGCCTTTACGTATATGTCTTGATATTGCGTGTGATATCTACTTATCTGCCACACTTCCTGATGTCTGGTATCAGGAGGCATAGTGTAACGGAATGTGTGCAAAACTTTTGTTCAGAATGGATAATGTGCCCTTCGTAATGTTATTTAATCTTTCTGGGCCGTTCGTTGTTTCCTCATCTGTAAAATGGAATACACGTACTTCCCTCACGGGGTGTCTGTGAGGAAGGAAGGAAGACAGTGTGAGGAAAACTGATGAGCATGGTACCTGTCGTAAAATCACGCATTGTATTTATTCATTCAATCCTCTGAGGATATAGCCCCCAACTGAGAGGAGCGAACCCCGTGCTCCTTCTGGAGTTTGTCTCAGAAGAAATGTTCAGGTGTCAGGTGTAATGATGCTTTTCTTTCTCTCTCTTTTTTTTTTCTCGCCAGCCACAGGACGAAGTCTTCTGGCTGGCCACCTCCCTCGGGCACCTGGGGCTTGAACCAGGCGCCACCCTATGGATGGGAGATGACTGCGAACCGGGATGGCCGAGACTGCTTCATCAAGTAGGTGGAACTGATGGCTTGAACTGTGAAATCTTCTTCCTGTTCTTTGTCTCTCTTTCCAGCCTTGACTCAGAGAATTAACATGCCTCCCTTTGGGGCTCATAGACATGTGGAGGTCATCGGTCAAGCTGCTTAATCTCCTCTGTCCTCTATGTCTTGTGACATGCAGTTGCATGTCATAGTGGGTCGCGTGCCATGTTAGGCGGATAATTCTCACTACAGTAAGGTCATTCTGGGAAAGAGCAAAAGTGTTCATTAGTAAATCCGAGGCCAGTTGTACCCACTGTCTGAGGCTAGAACTAAAGTTTGACATGGAGGACTATCATTTCAGTTCCCTTGTAGAGTTGGTCAAGACAGGAATGTTGCTGGGTCATTCGTAACGAAAAACATGAGCTAGCAGCATTATATGCATTCCTCTCGCTGACACTGGCTGAGATTTTGGACTTTTGTGGTGCTTTTTTTTTTTTTTAATGGGTTAAAATGTATATAGCATAAAGGTAAATTTTTCTAACATTTTCACATTTTGGGGTATACATTTCTGTGACATTTAAGTACATTCAGAACATTGTACAACCATTAACCACTCTCCATTTCTCGAACTTTATCATCATGCCCAACAGAAACTCTGTACCCATTAAAAAATAATTTCCCATCCCCCACCCCGCTGGTAAGCTCTGTTTTACTTTCTGTCGCTATGAATCTGCCTATTGTAGATATCTCATATAAGTGAAATCATAAAGTACTTGTTCTGTGTATAGCTTACTTCATTTAGCATAATGTCCTCAACGTTTCTTACGTGGCGTGGTATATATAACAATTTTGTTCCTTTTCGAGGCTGAATAATGTTCCATTGAACATAATCCATTTTATGGATAGCCCTCATTTGTTTAACCATTCATCTGTCAATGGAAATGAGGGTTGTCTGCACCTTTTGGGTCTCATGAATAATGTTGCTGTGACCAGTGCTTTATAAGTATCTGTATGGGTCCCTGCTTGCAATTCTTGTGGGTATATACCTAGCAGTGTAATCACTGGATCATAAGCTAATTCTGTGTTTACCTTTCGGAGGAACCACCAAAGAACTTTGGAGACATCAGTGGCTATAGGTCTCTGGTTTTTCGCAATGGTATGAGATGAGTCTTCCTATTGCACTTAGCAAAAAAGCAAGGATCTACCCTGCTTTCTTTTACAACCCATGTGGAGTATTCTTAAGTATGAGAATTTTTAAAATAAATTCTAGATCAGTAAGCATGTTTGATCCTAAGCTAATACAGTTGAGTTGAGACTGGATGCCAAGGGAAGCATTTTTCAAACTACAGGCTGCATTTCTTTGTTCTCGTCAATCTGACTGTGGGGGCTGATAAGCAGACAGGGTCACTATGAGGTGGGGGATCATGTTTATAAAGATAAAAATCTTTCAAGATTGTTTTTGGGGGGGCGCCTGGGTGGCTCAGTCATTAAACGTTTGCCTTTGGCTCAGGGCATGATCCCGGGGTCCTGGGATCGAGCCCTGCGTCAGGCTCCCTGCACTGGGGGAAGCCTGCTTCTCCCTCTCCCACTCCCCCTGCTTGTGTTCCCCCTCTCACTGTGTCTCTCTCTGTCAAATGAATAAATAAATAAGTCTGTTAAAAAAAAAAAAAGAAAGAAAGAAAAGATTGTTTATGGGGATTTGGTCTTTGCACAGCCCAGCACCTCCAGGTGATTATGGGAAGCTATCTATGCGAAAAACATGTGAATGTTTTGGTCAGATTTCCAGTCTTTGCGGCCCAAATCTCTCCTTTTTCTTGAATTTCCTGCAAAGGGGAGAGCAGTACTCTTCAAAGTACAATTTGTTCCTGAGGGCCTGGCCTTCTGGGAAGTTTCAAGTTGCCCGTGAACATGGCCCACTACAGGGAGCCTGTGGGCAGTGGTCCTCTGGCTCTTTGAGGCTTTCTTGAGGATGTGCTACCATAGAAACTACACTGGAATTGGCCGTGGGAGTAGAAGCTCCCAGAAAGCACAAAGACTGGAAGAAAGACTAACAGTTTTGCTTATACCCTAGATTCTGAGTTGTTCATTCCGTACGGTTTACCTGAGTGCTTTATAATGCTGAAAAGATGATATTTTGTCATATTACATTGTGCTATCTATTTTGTAACATCGTTATGAATTCATGTAATTGGCTCAGTTCAGGTGGCCTAGATGCTTTGACTCAAAACAATAAGAATGTACTTTCTAAAAGATTCAGATTATAAATTTATGGAGGTGTATCTTAGACTTTTCCAAGGAAAATGGATTTTTCTTTTTCCTCGTTGGATTTGGGCTCCCATGCATTCCAAACCAGTTGACCAATAATAGATGGAAACCCAAACCAAGGCCTGTTAGTTGTAGATGCCAGGAATGCCAGCTAGCCCTAGCCACATGCATTTCCCTTCATGTCCTTGACATTTTTAAGGGCAAGCCCACCTGTAAGTGTACCATTTATACTGGCCTCCTGCCGGCTGTTATAACCTGTAAGTGTAAATCAGCAACTTCATAGCGAAACCTGCACTGATTACTAAAGAGCAGCATTAAAAACCAATGTCCCCCGTGTCACTCTTCCCAAGCCGTAAGGTGTAGAGGGAGGGCGCGCACGTGCTCTTGTACCCAAGCTGGGAGAGGGACGGAGGGAGCCGGAGAGAATCTCAAGGAGGCTCCCTGCTGAGTCCAGAGCCCAACACCAGGCTCCATTTCAGGATCCCGAGATCATGACCTGAGCAGAAATCAAGAGTTGGCCTCTCAACCTACTTAGCCACCCAGGTGCCCCCAAATCTGTAGGGTTTTTTTTACTGGAAAAGTAAGTTTCCACAGCTCTCTCAGACTCATTGTTAGCAGATGTGAAGAACAGTACTTATTTCAAAAGTGTTTGTTCTTTATCGCTAGTGGGTTTTATAAATGAGAATCATTCTGATGGCGTTGTTTTCTTATCTACTGAGTACTCTCCATTACAAAGAAATACTCTAATTACTCAAGTTTCTGTCGAGCTCTGGTTTGCGGTGTGGAGTATATCCCTACTCATTAGTTTTGTGAGTTAAAAGAACAATTTGAAAATTAAGCTGTGACTAGTAATTAGCACCTTTGCATTTAATTTCTCACTCTTTTACATATTCTCTTTGAAAGATGTTAGATGTCTTCTTTTTTTATCTTGTCTTAGGATCCAAATGATATCCCAAATCAGACAATTGGTTTTGTTGGTGGTACAACTACTTTTCAAGTTACTAATGAAGCTATGGGAAGATCCAGGCTTCCCATGTTCAAAGTTAGAGTTTTCTGGCTCAATAATGAGCTAATTCTATCTTGATGAGTCCTTCAGAACACAGCCCACGGTAGTGAAATGTGTTCAAATTTCATGTTCCTTTTCCCATCCCCAATTATTTAGAGTGGAACCAATACCTTATGTTTTATAAAAAACTGGTAATGCATAGGGTTAAAAAATTTTAATGCCATTATGCATGTATTAATGTACATTTGTATAGCATTATATAGACAATAGACTACTGGTTATCAAGGTTTGCTGCCCTTTGAAATAGGTTCAGGAACTTTAAAATCCTGGTGTCTGGTTGTCATAGTCTGCTGGGGGTTTATAATAATCTACGGAAGACTGGGTGGCTGAAATACAGCACTTTATTTCTCACAGTTCTAGAGTCTGAGAAATCAACGATCAGTGTGCTAGCAAGGCCGGATTCTTGGTGAAGGCCCTCTTCTTGGCTTGAGATAGTTGTCTTTTCTCCGTACTCTGACATGACAAAGAGAGAGGGATCCTATCTCTATGTCTCTTCTTAGAAGTTCCCTAATTTTATCATGCGAGCTCTACCCTCATGACCTAATTACCCCCCAATTGCCCCACCTCCAAATACCATCATACTGGGGATTAGGGTTTCCACAAATGGATTTTAGAGGAACACAGACATAGTCTGGATCTTGGGTAGAGCCAAGAAATAGTTTCAAAAGCTCCCCAGGTGATTCTAATGCACAGGACGGGTGGCTGCCCTACAACATTATTTAATTGATGAATATTGTTCCCATTTCCAGATGAGAAAAGCAAGACTCAGACTCATCAAATGGCTTTCCAAATGTTTACACGTGTACCTAGTCACAACACATTGTACATTCAAATATACCAAACTTCGCACTAGGAAAGGACAGCTTTTGTTGCTATTGTCAGAAAAATATGAAATACATTTGTTTGAGCAACAGAGAATATTGTTTACGAAACATGGGAGATGTAGAAGAAGAGTTTGTCAGTTTCTTATTATTACCGTGTAAGCAGGGGAAGTGAGAGAGTCAGACAGGAAGAGAGAACCTGGAACGGAAGGAATGACTCTCAGGAAAGAGTGTCCTGTTAAGAAATGGGTGAGAAAGGGAGAAATGGAAGGAAAGAGAAAGTAAGAACTATAGAGAGTTTGATGCACTCTGTGATGTTTGCTGTAAGAACAGTATCAAGAAATAACAGATGTCGGGGGGCGCCTGGGTGGCTGACTCATTAAGTGTCTGCCTTCAGCTCACGTCATGATCCCAGGGTCCTGGGATCAAGCCCCGCATCGGGCTCCCTGCTCAGCGGGAGGCGCGCTTCTCCCTCTTCCACTCCCCCTGCTTGTGTTCCCTCTCTCGCTGTCTCTCTGTCAATTAAATAAATAAAACCTTTAAAAAAAAAAATAACAGATGTCGGTGTGGTTGTGGATCTAGATGCATAAAGCTTAGATATAGTTGTAGATAGAAATATAAATATTAACATAGCTCTTGATTCAGATACAGATGTAGTTGTGGATATAGTTATAAATGGATATAGAATATAGATATAGATGATCCATATATGTGCATATAGAGAAGTGTAGATAGAGGCGTATAACCTTGTCTGCCTAGGAGAGTCCTGGTTTATGAGTATTGTTCTGACATAATTACAGACAGCACCTCCTTTGGCTCTTAATGTGATCTGATTTGGATAAAGCAAGTTTAGAAAATTCTTGCGAGACCAAAGGTTT